GAGGATCAAGTGTATTCGCACACACAATGGAGGTGAATACAAAAATGATCATTTTAATAAGGTCTTTGAAAATGATGGCATCGTCCGACACTTCACTGTTAGACATACACCATAACAGAATGGAGTGACAGAATGTATGAACCGGACCTTGCTGGAGAAGGTACGATGTATGTTGTCCAATGCTGGCTTGGGCAAAGAATTTTGGGCTGAGGCAGTTACATATGCATGCCACCTCATTAATCGTTTACCATCTGCTTCTATTGATGGCAAGACACCATTTGAAAAATGGTATGGAAAACCTGCTGTAGATTATGACTCTTTGCACGTGTTTGGCTTAACTGCATATTATCATGTGACAGAGTCAAAATTGGATCCAAGGGCAAAGAAGACTATTTTCATGGGGATTACTTCTGGAGTCAAAGGATATTGCTGATGGTGTCCTATGACAAAGAAAGTAATATTCAACAGGGATATTACCTTTGATAAATCTGTTATGGTAAATAAGGTAACAGAAGATACCAAACAAAATGAGGGTGCTTCTAAGCAGGTGGAGTTTGAGGAAAAATTTATTTTTCCTACACAAGAAGCAGCGGAGGAAACAAATGAAGATTATCCTATAGAAGAAGAGCCAGTAGAGAGAGAGAGAGATTCCAACTCAGGAACCTCAACAACAACTTGAATTAATTGCAACTAGCAGGCCAAAAACAACAATAACAAAACCTGTTCGTCTTATAGAGAAGGTTGCTTGTGCCGCCTCAATTGTAGCTGATGATGTTCCTACCACTTATAAAGACGCAGTCCAAAGTTCAGAAGAAGATAAGTGGAGGATTGCCATGAATGATGAAATATAGTCCTTTCATCAGAATCATACATGGAGATTGGCCAATCTCCCGAAGGGAAAGAAAGCAATTGGGTGCAAATGGGTATTTGCAAAGAAAGAAGGATTTCCTAACCAAAAAGACGTTCGCTACAAAGCAAGATTGGTGGCCAAAGTATATTCTCAAAAGGAGGGAATTGATTACAATGAAGTATTTTCTCCAGTTATAAAACATTCCTCCATTAGAATTATGTCGGCTTTGGTAGCACAGTTGGATTTGGAACTAGTTCAGATGGATGTAAAAACTGCATTTTTAATGGAAACTTGGAGGAGAAAATCTACATGACTCAGCCAGAAGGATTCAAAGTTGCTGGAAAGGAAAATATGGTGTGCAAACTTGAAAAATCGTTCTACGAATTGAAACAATCTTCTAGACAATGGTACAAGCGATTTGACGAGTTTATGTTGCGGCAAGGGTACAAGAGAAGCAAATACGATCATTGTGTGTATTTGCACAAGCTTAAAGATGGTTCCTTTGTATATCTTCTCCTATATGTTGATGATATGTTGATAGCTTCCAAGAATTCGGAAGAAATTGATAAGTTGAAGATTCAACTGAAGAAGGAGTTCGAGATGAAGGATTTGGGTGAGGCAAAGAAAATTCTTGGCATGGAGATAATAAGAGATAGACGTTCAAAGAAACTCTGTTTATCTCAGAAAGAATATTTGAAAAGAGTACTACAAAGTTTTGGCATAGATGAAAAGACTAAGCCAGTTAGTATTCCACTTGCTCCCCATTTTAAGCTAAGTACTACTATGTCGCCAAAGGATGAAGCTGAACGAGAGTATATGTCAAAGGTACCATACGCAAATGTTGTTGGTAGCTTGATGTATGCAATGGTTTGCACAAGGCCTGACATTTCACAAGCTGTTGGAGTTATTAGCAGATATATGCACAATCCAGGGAAGGAGCATTGGCAAGCTGTGAAGTGGATTCTACGGTATATTCATAATACTGTAGATGTTGGGTTAGTTTTTGAGCAGGAAGGCAATCAGTCTATAGTTGGATATTATGACTCAGATTTTGCAGGTGATCTGGACAAACGAAGATCAACTACTGGTTATGTGTTTACTTTTGCAAAGGCACCAGTTAGTTGGAAGTCCACTTTGCAGTCAACAGTTGCTTTGTCTACAACAGAGGCAGAGTACATGGCTATTACAGAGGCTATGAAGGAGGCAATTTGGCTTTAAGGGTTGCTAAAAGAGCTTGGTGTTGAACAAAAAAGTATCACATTTTTTTATGATAGTCAAAGTGCTATTCAATTAGCGAAGAACCAAGTTTATTATGCAAGGACGAAGCACATTGATGTTCGGTATCATTTCGTACGAGAAATCATAGAAGAAGGTGGAGTCACGGTGAAGAAAATTCATACTATCTTCTTTCTTTAGTATTATTTCACTTGTATTTTGGAGTGGAATAAAATATTGGTTGTGTCCGAGGAAGTGGCTAAATTGGCCGAACCTCGTAAATTATGATGTTCCTTTTATTGTTGCTTTATTGTCTTATTTATGATTTGATGGCTGTCATAATTTTTGGTATAGTAATTGTGACTCATTCACACTATATACATTTGACTTCCGCAACACTTGGCATCGCGATATCTACTGCCTTTTAAGATTACTGTGCTAAGATCAAAGATGGATCAAGCAGTTTAAATCTGAAAACTGCGCCGCGGTTTTTTGCTCTTTTTCTTGGGTCTCAAATCAATATCAACCTTGAGTTTATGGCAGACAATGCCCATGGACAACACCAAATCTTTGCAGAAACAAGCTAGGAACACCGAATCTCTGCAGAATGTCCTGCACAATATAATTTTTTTTGCTCACGTGCAACATCAGGAAGAATTACTAAACAATCTGCTACACCTCCAGTAAGCTAAATCTGATTTACATGACGTGAATAATCAAGTCGTGGACAATCAAGTCTTCACACTCGAAGATCATGAGTGGAGCACAAGCTCCACTCTAAGAATCCGTAATGCACTTTCCGAGCCAGGAATCAGTCACACACTTCTAAGAATCCGTAATGTGAAACACTACTTGTCGATATGATAGGCGATTATGAGTTTCTACAAGCTTTTTTTACCATTAGCAGTATTACGAAGGCTTGGAACAAAAATTTATTAAGATAGAAATATTTTACCGGTACCGGATTTGATAATAAAATAGCTATTGTGATCTAAAGTTATTGCTACAAGTATACGAGCTATGGCTTCGCAAAAAAGCTCATTAAATAAAAGGGTTTATCCAACGGTGACAAATCATAATTAACGAAAGTTGCTTAACTTCTTGTGGTTATTTTTGTAAAAATAAAGTCTTTTTTCTAAAAACTATGTTCATGTGAAAAGCAGAAAAAAAATTCAGCCTAATAACAGAAACATAAGGAATTTCGTCAAAATGTACAAAAAGCAAAATGGGTAGATAAACAAAGGAGATAGGAAAGCTTCAAATTTTGCTTTCATAATGATGATATTCTCAATTTAATGTAATGATTAGCCGTCTCCCAAAGCTTAGGCACTATTTCCAATATAGAATGGGCGATTAATTTAGTACTTGTACTTAAAAAGAAGCTAACAGAAGTTATAATTAACATCTTTTTTTTAATTATAATTTTCTAGTGTCATATGTGTTGTTCAGATTTCTACTTTTCACACATATTGTCTCACGATAGTAATTCTTTTGAAGTGTTGAGCATATATGACATTTCATTTCTTCACAAAAGCATACTAACTCGTTGCTTCACGGCCGCATGCAGCTTTTCCTTTGTTGTTAGCCCTATTTTTATCTTTAAAATAGTAATAATTTTAAATATTTTAGGACCACAGGAAAAAATAGATGACGATACTTTGGATCTGATCAATGTGTATGCTTTTCCTTTGCCATTTTGTATTCCAAGTGCTTTGATGGTTTGATTTTTATTTTTACTTTACTTTCAGAAATTGAGTATTGCAGTAGAAACATATTTGACAGCAAGGATTTATTTTTAGAATATATATGCAGTTGAAAGTTTATTATTTTAGGTACGCATTTCGTAGTATTTGATACAAGATATGATTACATGTATATGAAAGTGACTTGGGCAAACGATCGCTTCTTAAACATATTAAGAAGTCGGGTGACAGAGAGAATTCCTGCTGATGAAACATACATCAGCAGGAATTAACAAAAAAAAAAAAAAAAAAAAATATCCCAAGCCAAACAAAATATAGGCTAGGATATTTA